GGTCAAGCCCTGCAGAGGCAGAGTGCGGCCAGCATCTATAGATTTGCTACAATATGTTCTCTATGATGCTCAAGTTCTAGCAGAAAATTATGAGACATGCAAAGAGACAAAAAAGTGTGACCCCTACACATGAAAACAGACAGGCGCAGAAACTGCTTCTGAGAGGACCCAGATGTGGGGCTTAGTAGAGAACTATGTCAAAGCAACTATTACAAATATGTTCATGGAACCAAGGAGAAGGATGTCTAAAGAATTAAAGCAAGGCCTAATGACAATGACTTATGAAATACAGAATAAGGGAAATTATAAAAATAACCAAATGGAAATTCTGGAGTTAAAAAGTACAATATCCCAAATGAAAACTTTATTACAGAAACTTAATAGATTTGAACTGCCAGCAGGGAATCAGTGGATTTGAAGATAAATTGATAAAAATGTTGCAATTTGAAGTGCACAGAGGAAAAAGCAAATGAAGGAAAATGAGTGGAGCCTCCGAGAAATGTAGTAAGGCATTAAGCACACCAATATATGCATAATGAGAGTACCACAGGGTGAACACAAAGATACCCACACCCATAAACATCACAGTAAAAATGTAGAAAGACAAAGACAAAAAGAAAATCTTGAAACAACCATAAAAAAAAAAACCCAACTCCTATGCACAATAAAACTGCAATGAGATAAACAGCAGACTTCTCCAGAGAAACAATAGGGCTGAAGAGGCAGTAGGATGACATCGTCAAAGTGCTGGAAGTAAAAACCACTAACTAAACAATAACAAGAATAAAAACAACCAAACCACCATCCAATGATCTCTATCCAGCCACTCCAAGCCCCAATGAGACAGCACTTCATCCACACCAGGACAGCTATAATAAGAAGGAGGATAAGTGCTGGCCAGAATGAGGAGAAATCAGAATCCTCATGCATTGCTAGGAGGATACAAAATGGGAACGCTAATGTGGAACACAGTCTGGAAATTCCTCAAAATGTTAAACATAGAATTTCCATAGGACCCAGCAATTACACTCCTAGGTATAAACACAAGAGAAACGGAACATATGTCTGCACAAGAACTTGTACACAAACAGCAGTGATAGTCACAGCCAAAAAGAGCACAGGCAGTGAGATCCATCAACCGCTGAAAGGATAGATAAAAAATGTCGTATGTTTAGCAATAAAAATAATGACGTTTTGATACACGTTACAATGTGAATGAAACATGAACACATTACACCAAGTGAAAGAAGCCAGTCACAAAAGACCGCAAGTTGTATGCTTCCCTTTATGAGAAATTACCAGATTAGGCAAATCTACAGAGACAGAAAGTTAAATTAGTGGGGTTTAGGACTGATGGGGCTTGGGGAATGGGGACTGCCAGGGCTTTCTTTCTGGGGTGATGCAGAGGCTCAGATTAGGTGTGGTGAGGCTTGTACAACTCTGGAAATATACTACAAACCACTGAATTATACATTTCCAATGGGGGAAATCTCTATGATGTATGTACTACATAACAAAAAAGTTGTCTTTTAAAAAAAATAGTACCTATCTGTTAGCGTGGCCATTAGGCTAAGCAACATAACAAATGATAGCCAAGCATGTGGCACAGAACCCTCCATAAATTAGGGTCGCTCCTTCCGCTACTGTCCTGACCATCACTGTTTCCCACATTGTCACCACATGGTGCCTCAGGAAAGGCACGTGCTGTGTGACAGGCCTTCACATGCCTAAGCTTGGTGATCACAACAGACCTGTGATGTCAAATAGGTAGAGACTTAAGAACTATACACACCACCCTTTTTTTTTTTTAAATAACCTTATTTAGTGAAATACGAAATATTTTGAGTCAAGGTTCTTGGTGGCAATATTAGGAGGACTTTAGAGGTCTTCCTAGGGTTTACAGATGGTGCAGTGGAGAGTTCCATGACCTTGACAGATATTATCAGTCCTTCCTGGGGCAGCCTATTTCTCCACCAGGCATCACACCCCGCTTCTACTGTAAGGATTCAGGTTGGACAAAACTACCCCAAAACCATATGCGGATGCTGCCACCTCCCAGCAAGGCAGGGTGACGCACCCTCTCTGCCCCTCCTGGCACCCAGACGTGTCCTATTTCATCACTGAAGCAACACTGCCCATTCCCTGCCTCTCTCATCACACAACACAGATCTGAAGTGCATTTATTATTCACGAGACCCTCAGGAAAACACTCATTTTAGTTTGTTAAGAGTATTTATTTACTATAAATAAGGCAATCAGCTTTTAACTTTGATGGTGTTCCTCAAATCCATTTTTAGAGAATGATGGCAAAGTGCTCCCAAACACAAAAGCTGGGAACCAGGTGAGAAAACGATCTATCAGATTGGAAACTGCATCATCTCACAATTGTCAAGCATGTTCTCTACCTGAAGTCATTAAACTCTTAGTTAAGCAATATATTTTAGCTTACAGGTGATAGTCCCATACTGTAGGTAAAACCAGAAGAACAGAATATATATATATTTTTTTCTCCCCTACCAGGGATCTTGTTTTCCAAATGCTCTCTCCTTGAGGTGTATGAGGGATAACAGGTCAAACCAAAAAGAATTCTACTGACACCTGATGGCCAGCGAATAGCTGGGTCAACCAGAAACACCGAGGGGGGAAAACAAAAGCTTAACTGAGATCAACCTAGGACTTTAATTAGATTAAAAAAAAAAAAAACAAGAATAAAAAGAACAAAAAAGGAGCTGTCCTCTAATATAAAACCATGCCATTTTTCATCATACTTGAAGAGATTTGAAAGATGAGCAATGGGATAGATATCAATCAGTAAAGAAATAAAAGACTTGGCAGCCACTTGAGGGATGATCCCATTCAGTATTTGTTATTATCTGGCTAATGAAAGATGACTTCTTATCCTCCCTTTTTCTTCTTTAAAATGCTTCTGATTTGTTCTATCATATGGCAAATGCCCCTGAACCCCACACTCATATAAGTCTGGTTGAGGTCATTTCTGTCATGATCACCTACAGACAAAATAATCAGTGAAGTTGGATTTAATGTATTTGCAAGATTAATGGGGAAAGCATACAGATTTCTATTCCAGTGACCAGAATATTAAATTCCAGGGTTCATTACTCACAGGAGTCTTTTTTCTGCTCTTTCACTTCTTTATCTCACACGTAGTTGTCACTTACAAGTGAGCCGCTAACTCCCATGGAGATCAAAGAGACCCAGACATCTCAAGCTGCTGCCAGCCAGTTCTGCTCCTGGGACCGACTCCAGAGCAGGGCTCAGCCATCGGGAGAGCCTGGGCTCACAGAGACCCAGGGCATCAATAAACCTGCACCCCTGCTGGGTTAATGGGAAGCACCTCGCCCAATCTCCACAAACAAATCCAAGGCTACCAGCTCTGAAGTCATGGCATACCTCCCTACCACACAGATGGCTTCCATTTCCAGTCTGAGCCTTCGTGAAAGAAAGCCAAAGAAGAGATCTCTTCCTTTAGTGAATTCTATGAAGAGTTCTAGCCCTTTCATTAAGGAAGATCTGTTCTTCTTGGGAGAACACGGAAGAAATCAGCCACACTGTCTTCAATCCTAAAAATTATGCGAAATAACCACCACCTTATCTTTGGGAAATCTCTATTGTAGCCATTCTCCAATCAAAAGCCCTTTACAAATTAGAGTAGACATGGAATCAAGCCATTCCAAACGCAAAGCAGGCATTAATATTTTTTGAAAAATTTTAATGGGATTTAGCATTTGCACATATGTAGTATTTGAAGGGACTGGTTACAAATGCTGCTTCACCATCCAGTATCCACACACACTTGCACAAAATCCTTATAAGATGCAGAGTCTGAATTCCCTCTTTCCAAGAGAGAAAAAAATTTAAGACAGACTTAAAGCATTTTCTAGAAATATAATAAATATATAAAAACCTGTTTGCCAAGGGGCACCTGGGTGGCTCAGTCAGTTAAGCGTCTGCCTTCGGCTCAGGTCATGATTCCAGGGTCCTGGGATCGAGCCCCGAGTCAGACTCCCTGCTCCACGGGGAGCCTGTTTCTCCCTCTCCCTCTGCCTGCTGCTCTGTCTACTTGTGCTCTGTCAAATAAGTAAATAAAATCTTAAAAAAAAAAAAAAAACCTGTTTGCCAAACCTTTACTATGGTCAAGACCTTAAAACATTTTGGCCACACATTTTTGCTCAGCTACCTAAGTCCTGTCTTGCTCATCTGTGTCCGAATGATTAATGTACTCAAGACTCAAAAGTATCCGCTAAGCTTTTCTTCCCTAAAAATATGGAAGTATTTTAAGAAAATTAAAAGACAAGGCATTGGGATTTCGGCTTGGGGCAGCCCGAGGGATGCAGGTATCTTCTCAATGGGGCCAGACGATCGTCACTGTAAGGTCCCAGCAAAGGGGACCACCGGAAGCATTCAAGTGATGTTCAGTGTCTACATCAGATACTAAGAAAATGGGGAATGTACCACAGACTCATCGGTCCAGGAAGTCTTGGACTGCCGCCGGGCCATGGCTTCATCACCGCATTTGGAACGAAGGCCCTATTCTGTCAGCATGTGATCCTCAACAGAATGGCAGAGGTAAAGTGCTTCCCAGCTTCGGATCAAATAATCCACCTGGCCCATCAGTTTCGTACTGCTGTTCTATTCGGAATGAAGACATTTCTGCGGCGCTGCACGGACCAGTGAGTTACGGTGGAAGCGGCCCCTGGGAAGTTCTCTATGTCAGACCTGGCCATGAGCTTGAAGTACAATTTTCACACTGGCGCGCTCTTCCCTGGTTCTTGTAAAACAACAGAAGTCTGGGCATGTGCTTCTATTGCCAAGTGTGCCAAAGAACGACATATTCTAGAGAGTATTACTTGGCGATTTCCTCCTGCTTTTACAGACCAAAGAAATGTGTCCTGCCATAATAGCGGAACCAGCTACAATCTCTCAAGGGAAACAGCACCCAGTCCCCTATCACACACCACTCACACCCAAGCTGTACTCACCAAACCTCTGCACGTTGAGAGAGCCACCGAGGAATTTTTGTGGGATCGTAAGGAGCCTTGATAGAAACAGAAATCCTCAGGCGGGAAGGTGTGCACGGACTTAGTACCTCCTTTCCCCAGTGTCTGCACGATAAATCCGGGAGCCACCAGGTTGCTGGAAGCTTTCAGCTCCATGTGGAAGTCGTGCCTGAAGCCCTTCAGCCGAAGGTGGAGAGACTCCACCCCGAGCTGGGCCAGCGCCCTCTTCCTCCTTTGAGGGTGTGTGATTTCGTGGGACACATAGTCTCCATTGTGGTCAACCTCATAGGGAGACACCAGGTCATATTCTGAAAGACAAAGAGAAGGTGTGGCTGAGTAAATTCAGGATTCTGAAAAGAATCAGGCAGTCTTGGAATATAATTTATTGCCAGAGGCCACTTCCGCCCAATAAAAATGATGGGAGGAAATGTCAGCATTGAGCCAAGCTCAAATCCGTACCGTAGGATGTGAATAATCATAGTCAGGAGGGAAAATCTTCAAAGTGGCCTTTAGAGAAGTCTCTGCTGCCCCAAAATATGTTATTCCCAATCCAGCAAAATCTACAACACTCCAAAGGAAAAACGAATCACAGACCAAAGAAATCCGAAAATGGACTTTTAGGATTATATTTCATAATGTTTACTTTGCACTCACGATAACATGTGATCATTTATGGTTCTAAATATTTTTTTTAGCCATGCTTGTTTTTTATAAAAATTTTCATTGAGCTGACATGAACTTTAGCTTCAAAATACCAACAATTTATCAAAAATTAGTTAAAAAGACAACTACGGGGCGCCTGGGTGGCTCAGTTGGTTAAGCGACTGCCTTCGGCTCAGGTCACGATCCTGGAGTCCCGGGATCAAGTCCCGCATCGGGCTCCCCGCTCAGCGGGGAGTCTGCTTCTCCCTGTGGCCCTCCCCCTCTCATGTGCTCTCTCTCTCTCAAATAAATAAATAAAATCTTAAAAAAAAAAAAGACAACTACGATGGCTATACTTTGCTGCTTAATATTTTAACAGTTAATTGTTAAATCAAGGAATCCTACAAATCATATGCAGACATATTCCAGATGCTAACGTTTCCTACACGGTCTGCTCCCACTGAATACTGCTGTCCGCCCGCTCACTGGCCTGAGTTCTTGGCATGACATCAGAGTTCACCACCCAGGGTCTTCCCCAATGTGCACCATGGTCTTCTGCCCACTCTGATTCATAGTATACTAGCCTAAAACACATTCAAATACGTAATTTTTTGAAATGTGAAGAAAGGGGCTTTCTGCTTTCAGGGCACCCACACAGGCCTGTGGGGCATCAGGGGCCGACAATGTCACAGCGTGGCCCTCTCTGTGGAAAGCATAGACAGAAGCTTTGCAGCTCCTTTCATTATAAAATGTGCACCCAGGAAGCTGTGAAAGTCTCATAACCGGGACTCTTTTCTGCTTTAGTGCGAGTTGGACATTCTTCTTAGAGTCATAAGATAAAACACAGAGATGGTGTTTGGTCAGAAGTAAGCAGTATTTGGGTAATAACTTTTTCTGGAAAAATGAGGTTTTCTTCACAACCAATCTGTTTCAGTGCAGGTGTCCGTCCATGGGTCCCTGTGCCGTCAGGAACAGGGAAAGGTCACACTTGAACAGGACAGGCAGCCAGCACCGATCAGAAATGGCACATGGTGGGTTGGGGGAGAGAGAGCAGGCCGCAGATGGTGAGGCCCTGCCTTGATCCCCCCATGCTGAAGCCAGTGGCAAGGTGTGTGTCCAGGGCCGGCAGTGAACTCGATCCAGTGGCAGGATAACCCAACGATCGGTTCTGGCCTTGGCGACCCCAGGGAGGCCGTTTGCTCCGGGCAACAGCTTCGATGTGCGACCTCAGGGGCCTGGCCCTGCCACTCAAGGATCAACAGGTACCCTGAGGGTCACGGGCAGCGGGTTATAGCAGATCACAGGACGACCAACCATCAAAATCTATGTCGAAGTAGAGCATTTGTGTCCCAGAGGGCAAACTTTATTGGGTCTGTTTCCTGTTTTACTTAGGAAACCAAGAAAATAAAAGAACTCTGGCTCAACTGTGTGCAATGACAGGAGAAAGGGGAAACAAGTCAGGGATCTGCTCGTCTGGTGTAAGGATGTGACTGCAGGCTGTCCTGGGCCAGTCTGAGAGACAAGTGTGCATGCCTTTCTACCTCAGTTTCTCCCCACTGCCTTCCACATCCCCAGCCTCCTTGATGGAGGGGGGAGGCTGGCGCAAGTGGAGGTGTTGCCCCTTTCACTCTGCCCCCGGGACTCTCAGGGGACCCCTCTCCCCCCACCCCAAGTCTGTGTCTATTCCAACAGAGGCTGTGGACACTTCCAAACACTGCCTAATCAGCACATTTATTGCACATAAACACATGATTACCACTTAAAGAAATCAAATTGTTTCCAGATGATATAAGCCACATTCTTATGACCTTTGTTTTGGAGGACATATAACATGCATCCTTTATCTGGAGGGGAGTATCTACTCTTTAGTATCTCTACAGTATCTACTCTCAAAATAGCGACTGATAAGGCTCTTTTACATAAACACATACAGCATCCTGTTGATAAATGCTAGACAACCAGCTATCTGAGGCGAAAGAATAAACGGCCTGCTTTACCGCATTTGCCAGTTCCCCCGGTGTAAGACTCCCACCGTGGCTGATCTCCAGCACCAAGGTGATGTCACTCCATGTGGAGCACGGAAGAGATACCCAGTAACACACCAGTACACACGGAGTATCTCCCGCACACAGAAACGAATAATGCAAATAACACAAGAGCACAGATAAGAGTAAAATAATGATGAGGGATGAGATTTGCGTATTTTAATTTTGTTTTTAAAAGGACTTGTTTCACTATAGCTTTGCATATTTTACTTTTCAGTGACCAGCTCTGCCAAACTTAAAGGAAAGGAACAATCAGCTCTGGAGGACGGGTACAGGCTGGCCCCAGGCCACCAGCTCCAGAAACAGCAAAGCCACGCTTTGTAATCTATGACAATCTGTTCCCAAGAATGAGGAAGCAAATGCACGATGGGAAGAAGACCCGTTTTTTCAATTTAGTCTACTGGTTCTCAACCAGCAATTCCTCTCCCACACCCCCGGGGAGACAAATGTCTGGAGACATTTCCATCTGTCACGGAGTGGGAGGGGACAGTGGTGCTCCTGGGATCTAACGACCCAATCCAGAGATGCTGCTACAGAGTCTTCAATGCACTGGACAGGCTCTTGGGACAAAGTAATAATACTGCCAAGGCGGGGAATCCTGATTTAGTCCCGCAATAGTCCTCTCTACCAAATGTGTACTCTTGGTTATGTGTCAATGAATGTGGAAAAGGTCATCACTAAAGAATTCAATGAATGAACAAAATAAGCATGGCATCTCATCATACTCCTATTACTATCTGGAAATAAATCAATACATTACTGCAATAGACTGAAAAAATTAACTTTTGAGCTTATGTTTTAAGATTATAACCCCCACAACTATTGGCTTGTGATTTCAAGAAAAAATTAGTGCGATTCCTAATCTTTAAGAATCTTTTATTTTTCAACCTTTTTAAAAAAGATTTTATTTACTTATTTTAAACAGAGAGCGAGCACACTCCAGAGCATGAGCTGGGGGAGAGGAACAGGGAAGGAGAGAAGGACAATCTCAAGCCGACTCCCAGCTGAACCTGGAGCCAGACACGGGGTTCAATCCCATGATCCCGAGATCATGACCTGAGCCGAAGTCAAAAGTTGGATGCGTAACCAACTGAGCCATCCAGGCACCCCTGTTTGAGACTCTTTTAAATGAGACCTGTATCCTATTCACCCTTAGTTAAGGAGAAAAACTTCACATATGGCTATTCCAGTCAGTGGTCAGAACTCCTTGATTTCAAGAGGTCTTCTGACCACAGCCTCAAGTCCAAGAACACTCTGGTTTCAAGCTGAATGCATGAAGTGTAGTCCACCTGAGCATGCAGGGCTGGTTCCTAACAGCTGCCGAGAGCAGATCTGCACCTTGCATCCTACCCCTGTACTCAGTGACATCACATCCATAGCTTGGAAGCGATAACGGTGCGAGTATTTTGACCCGTTTACCCCATGGGAACCAGAAAATGCCCTAAATCCGGGCTCCAAAGAGCCTGTCGTTAAAGATTGACAAGCACGGGGCGCCTGGGTGCCTCAGTCGTTAAGCGTCTGCCTTCCGCTCAGGTCACGATCCCAGGGTCCTGGGATCGAGCCGCGCGTCGGGCTCCTGGCTCAGCGAGGAGCCTGCTTCTCCCTCTCCCTCTGTCTCTCTCCCTGCTCATGCTCTCTCTCTGTATCTCTGTGTCTCAAATTAATAAATAAAATCTTAAAAAAATAAACATAAAAAATAAAAAATAAAAAGTAAGATCAACAAGCACGCTACCTGAAAGAGACGACCCTGTCTCATATTCCCCAAATGTTTGAATGTAGATCAATGTAATCTTCCAATGCACACACACAAACAACAGGTCTATTATGTACGACGAAACCCATCTCTAAAGAACTTCTAAACCTTGCCTTGGAAGCATAACTTACTCTAGAATCAAAAGCTAACAAATCTGTGATACATCTTGGCTCTTAACAGGAGCCTCTATTTTTATTACAAAGGCAAATTTGTAGGAAAAACATTAAAATCTCCCACTAAGGAAAAACAACTCTGAATCAGCCAAAATGAAACAGGCGTACTTAAATGTCTGAAAACGGTTTAGTTATCCACCATGGCATCAAGAATAGAGGGCGTTCTCTTTCCCGCTGCGGAACTGCTTCGGACACGGAGGAAAATCAAAGGCTGAATTATGCGGGAAACAAACCTTATGGCCAAAAAGAGCGATCCCAAAGCCAATCTGTGTAACAGATACCTAGAAATGCAACAGTTACACAAAGTGCACCCTGGCCCTACTGTTCTACAGCGAAACAAGGAACCTGCTGAGCAGAAAGAGTCTTTGCTCTGGTAGTGTGAAAGCCCTCTGGTAACACCCACTCTCTCTGGACTTGGCCGTTTCTTTCTTTCTTTTTTTTTTTTTTTTTTAAGATTTTATTTATTTATCTGAGACAGACAGAATGAGAGAGACAGAGAGCACATGAGAGGGGGGAGGGTCAGAGGGAGAAGCAGGCTCCCCACCGAGCAGGGAGCCCGATGCGGGACTCGATCCCGGGACTCCAGGATCATGACCTGAGCTGAAGGCAGTCGCTCAACCAGATGAGCCACCCAGGCGCCCCTGGACTTGGCCATTTCTAATTAAAGACCTAAAACACACAGAGGGTAGGCAGGTAGGGGGCTGGACTTTGTCCACTAGGCTATGACTTCATGGATGACGGCTCACACGTTCCCTGCCAGTTTTTGACCAGGCGAGGTATGTGCATGACGTGGCAATGCTTGGCTTGTGACACCAGCCGAGGTGCCAGGTGTTTCGAACCGCATGCCAGCCAGGCTAGAGTCCAGCTCCCAGGAGTCCGTCCTGGCCAGGAGCAGGGGAAGCTCACTTGGGCAGGGAGCCTTTGACTTCTCCTTCCGGAAATGGTTCTCTGTCTGTATTGCTCCTACCTTAATAAAATGTTATACAGTCCCCTGAAAAATCTCCTGAGACCTTCATGAATGTTCATGATTTTAGAGAACTTTAGAGAACTTAACAAAAAACTCTTTTTTTCAGAAGTGTGTGTGGAGAGACAAATATAATATGGATAATTAGATTGTGGAATGCATCCTGAGAGAAACATGAAAGAAGACAAGGGCAAGCCCAAGAAGGTGACCTTTCAAAAGATAGATAATTACCTTTCTCCAGCAATAACGGAGCCCTAAGGGATTTTTATGTTTCATATCACTTACATCTAGCGCCCTCTGGTGGTGCTGAAGGTCTTCTGTTCCAGCGTTCGTCTACCTACCACTGTATTTATAGACTATTCGCATACTCACTCAGTGGGACAGAATTCAAATAGTTAATGCATGCGTCAGATTCTTGTCTTTATAAAAGATGGAAAACTATGCTCAAAAACTTTGAGTTATTAACTTTTCTAGATTTCCTGAAAATAAGCTGGGATAATCAAACCTCGTCCTTCCTCTAAAATACTAACACTTGATATGTCAATTTATTGTTGGAAATGTTGCAAAGTACAAAACAACTGCCAAAGGACTGGGTTCAGATAAAAACCACCCAGCAACTGACATCCCACACCTGCCTTTCCCTTTAGCCTAAGGCAGTTCAGGGCAGGGCCGATTATTCCCAGGAGATGTGACATGTACAACTGCAGCTTGCCAACAGCACAAGGAAAACCACGCATTGCAAGAGGATCAGACTTGTACGCCAGATCGTGGCAGAAAGTTCGGGCATTGCTTGGGCTGTCGCAAACGCGCATTTCCCATTCCATGCACTATGTTACAGTTATGGCTCAACTCCTGAATAGCATCCACTTTCATACTAACTGGATCAGTATTAAGCAAAAACGGCTTTCTTTTGTCTCCTGCTCTTTAATCAAGGGTATACAGAGAGGCTTCACTTTAAAAGCCGGAGGAGGCTCAGGAGGGGGCGAAGGGGTAGAGAAAGGAGTAGTAAGCGCTTTCTAATGTCCTGAATGCATAAATTAATAAAACCTCTAGATTAGTCCTTGCTTTTTAAATGTTCTTATTCAATATGTATTGCTTGTTTTTTCCCCCTACCGCTTCTGGTAATAACGCTGGTAAGCGTTACTGTTTCACAGCGGAATACAAAATGAATATTGGTGAAAGTTGACTCATGGGCGCTCGCTCCTACGGCAAGGAGGCAAGGCAGCATCCTGGGAGGAACATTCGCAGCACCTTAGAACCCAGTGGCACTTGGTGAGGACTTGGACCCCCCTTCCCCGCACACCTACCGCCTTTTTCCATCCAGTCCGGCTGAGCCGCAGAACCCGGGGGACGCCAGGCGCTCGGGCTCCCTGGCGAGGCCGCTGCGGGTCCCACGGAGCACGCAGGTGCCTGCTGGAAAACAGCGGCCACACGTCGGTGAGACCGGGACTGCAGGGGGGAAGACGCGGGGCACCCCCCCGTCGGGGACTCACCTGCACAGCCACCTGGGCCAACAGCAGGGCACAGAGCGCCGCGCAGCCGGGGCCCCCCGCGCCCCGCGCCCGCCGCCCGCGCTGCGTCCCCGCGGGGAGAACGCGCCGCTCCATCCAGGGGCGCTCCAGGTGCCCAGGGCCGCGGGATGGCCCCTGCCAGGCGGCGGCAAGTGGGCACCGAGGACCCGGCCGGCCGCGCGCAGGACCTTGCCCGCAGGGCCTCCGCCGCCCGCGCGGGGTTATCGCTGCGGCTCCGCGCGGCGCGGGGGGCGGAGTGGCGGCCAGGAGGCGGGCGCGGTGGTGGAGCACCAGCCCGCACCGTGGGAGAGCGGCGGGAGGAGGGGGAGGGCGGGGAGGCGCAGAGGATCGCGAGGGGAGGAGAGGAGGGAGCGGGAGGGAGCGGGAGGAGTTGGCAGGGGCGGCGGGGTGGGGAGCTGCAGGAAGAGGGCAGGAGGGGGGGCAGACGGGGGAGGGAAGAGGCCGGAGAAAGCGGGCGGCGGGGTGGGGCAGAGGGGAGGAGGGCTGGGAGGATCCCTGCGCGCGCTCGCCCGCCGGCCGGTCGGGGCCTCGCCCAGCTCCCCTGGGCGCGCGGCTGGAGCGGTGGCCAGGAGGCTCTGAGTGTGAGCAGCTTGAGCCACCACCCCCCGGTGCCTCTGAACCTGCAGTCGCGCCGCCCCGCCCCAGGGCTGCCCGGCCAGCACCCCCAGGGCCAGACCTGTGCCGCCTCTGGCTCAGACACCTGCCGCCCACCAGGTGAGGCCGGGCTGCGCCTGGGGCCGCTGCGCGGGCCCTCGCGCTGCGTGTGGGAGATCGAGTGCGGGACAGCGGCGCCCAGGGCTTCAGGGCGTCCTGCGTTCTGAGTACACACAAAGGTGCCTTGCTCGTGCCTTGCTCTCGCCTTGGGGAGGGATGGGAGGCCCGGTGGTCTAAGAAGCAACGTCTGTCTCCTGGTCAGTCCTGGATGTAGAGGAGCTCCTGGCCCCGGGGCCACCTGCCCTGGAGAGCCTGTGTGCCCAGCTGCTGGCTGGCTGCGCGTAGCCAATCCATTAGGAGGCCTTGGGGCTCAGGATCCCTGTGGGCCCGGCTGCAGGCAGGGTGCCAAGGGCCCAGGGAGCAGCAGGTGCTTGACCACTGGCCTGGCAGCAAGCCCAGTCAGTGTTCTACCACGGTGTGTGTGAACGCATGTGTGTGCGTGTGGACGTGAGTGCGGCTGTGCCTCAGTACCCACTTGTGTGTGCGCATGTGTGCATGTGTATGTACCCTTGCGTGCGCGCACACGTGTGTATGTACCGTGTGTGCGTGCACACGTGTGCATGTACCCGTGTGTGCACACGTGTGCGTGTGTATGTACCCTTGTGTGCCTGCACACGTGTGTATGTACCCGTGTGTGCACACATGTGCATGTGTATGTGCCCTTGCGTGCGTGCACACGTGTGCATGTACCCTTGCGTGCGTGCACACGTGTGTATGTACCCGTGTGTGCACACACGTGCATGTGTATGTACCCTTGTGTGCGTGCACACGTGTGTTTGTACTCGTGCGCATGTGCACACTTACCCGTGCACATGTGTGCGTGTGTATGCACTGTGCGTGAGTGAACACGTGTGCCAGTGCGTGTTCTCACCACATGCATTGCCTTTGACCACTCTGCTGTACGGATTGCCCTTTTCCTCTCTGGCCAAGTACTTTCTGCGGGTCCTGGAAGCCTGGGTTCCTACTTCTGTGGTTCCAGTGTCCCTCACATTCACTTTATCCCAGATTTGCCAGTTTTGCACATTTTGGAGGGGAAAGTGGAGAGGGAAAAGGTGACTGTGGCCTCTGGTTCCCTTTGCCCAACTAGCTTTGAGCCTGTCCATGTTTCCTACTTCTGGCAGTCTGGACGTGCCAGATATCCCGGGCTTGGACAGCAGAACCCCCAGGCTGAGCAGTGGCTGGCTTGCCGGCTCTCTCTCTCTTTCTCTCATATTTATTTGAAAACAGGTCTTAAAGTGAAAATAGTTTTACTGAAAGGCCTGCATTGGGGGTGGTCTTTAAAACACCTGCCTCCTCCCCTTCCTCCAGCTCTGGACAAGGGTCTGACTCAGTGAAGGGGGCAGGGAGCTCAGCCTGAGGGGAACCAGAGGCTGAGGTTGGCCGGGCAGAGCCTCTGGGTCTGGCAAAGCTTCTGCGGGAGGCTGCAGTTCCTTCTGTCCTGAGTGCAAGTCCTCACATGCTTGAGAAATACGGACCTCTATTTCTAATTATGTTGACTGTAACCTGCAAGGGGATCAGATTTTCCAAGTCTAGCTAAGATCCCATGAAGGCACCCAGGGGTTCTTTTTTTTATATGTTTAAACAGATGGAATGAAAGGATTCAGTTTTAGGTTTTTTTTTTTTTTTTTCTTTTTGAGTAGTACCCAATGAGTCTCTTTCCATTGTGAAGAAACCATATCCTTTACAGCGATGAGTGTTTTCCAGTTCTTTTAGCTGTTCACAGAATTCAATGCTCATCCCAGACCAGGAATGTGTCTTAGTTGACACAGAGCAAACTCCTGCCTGGGGCCAGGCAGGGAGCTGAGCTGAGGGAGCCTGATGAGCTGCATATGAGAAAGGCCTTGAAACAAGGTGGAGGGGAGGGGAGTTGTGATTTCCACTAGGATACATATAGTTGGTCTTAGCATTTCTGACAGAGAGCTCCTAAAACCCTTGGAATTTCCTAAGAAAAGAGTGAGAAAGGGGCCTTTTGTTATGCTAACAAGGTGATTTGCATCCAAGGTAGGGGGCTGGTTGCTTGAGGTGCCAACCTGGTGAGTAGAAGAGTGGAACTTTCAGTCCCACTTCCTGACCCCCTCATTCCCAGGGAAGGGGAGACTGGTTGGGGGTTTAGTTCAATCACCAATGGCCAATCATTTCATCAATCCTCCCTATGTAATGAAGGCTCCATGAAAACCCCTAAGGAACAGGGTTCAGAGAGCTTCCCCTTGGTGAACAGGTAGAGAAGCAGGGAACTGGGAGCATCAGAGAGTGTGGAAGCTCTGTGCCCTTCCCCCAGACCTTGCCCTGTGCTTCTCCATCTGGCTGTTTCTGACTTATATCTTATTATAATAAACCAGTGACCTGGGGAGTAAAATGTTTCTCTAAGTTTTGTGAGCCACTCTACAAATTAATTGAACCTATGGAGGGGGTCCTTCCCATCTGTAGCCATTTGATCAGAAGCTCAGGTGACAGCAGATTCCAAATTGGCGTCAGAAGTGGGGGTGGGGTGAGGTGACTGTTACCTGACCAGAGGCTGGGTCAGGGGGGTCTGGCCCCATAGCCCTTCTCTAAAGGATGCTTTATAGTCCTACAAGTAGAAAGAGTACCTCCACAGTGTGAAACACTAGCATATTTAGAAACAAGAAAAGGCCATGTTTGATGTCAGAAGCTTTAAATTCCCAAAGTGAAAGATTAGGTCAGGGCCTGTGTCTTGTGGATTATCTGATGTTTAGAGCTGGCCCTGAAGTCTGACTTAGTACAATTTAGGAAATCAGGAGCTGCTGGAAGAAAGGACCTCCCAGAGTGGGTGGCAGGTGGGATGCAGCCTCTGTGTTTCCTCCAGAGACCCACGCAAGTCCTGGCTGAACCTGAGCAAGTCAGCTTGCTGGGGGCTGAGAGGGTTTCACACCTTAGGTCTGTGGGCCCAAGGATCTGTCAGAAGCCCCAGAGCTTCAGTGTTGGATTCCGAGGCTGAGTCTGTTACTGGCTACACTCCAGAATCTGATCTCCTCCCTCACTTTGAGACTTGACTCTTAGAAAGAAGCCAAAGGGAAATTGGGAAGCAATGAGACAGACAAGGTTAGATTCCTTCAATCAAAACATGGCATTTATAAGCCTCTTTCCCTTTATTATTAAACACTTAGAAATTTAGCTCAAATATTAGTTTAGATTATTATATAAAATATAATTATTCAGTATTATAATTTTTGTTTATGACAGGCTTATAGTCATTATTATACATAGATTTATTTTTTAATGGATTTTATTTATTTATTTGACAGAGGGAGAGACAGCGAGAGAGAGAGAGCACAAGCAGGGGGAGTGGGAGAGGGAGAAGCAGGCCTCCTGCCAAGCAGGGAACCCGATGTGGGGCTCCATCCCAGGACCCCGGGCAGTTGCTTAACCAACTGAGCCCCCCAGGCGACCCTACACAGATTTTTTTAGAGGGGGGCAGGGCAGAGGGAGAGGGAGAGAGAATCTTAGGCCGGCTCCATGCCCAGCATGTGAGCCCAATGTAGGGCTCGAACACATGACCCTGAGATCATGACCTGAGCCAAAATCAAGTCTCTGAAATCAAGTGTAGTGAGTATTTGATAAGCGAGTAAATTATTCTCTGTATGTTTAGCTTCCATTCTGTCTCCTCAATCACAAGATTCCATGTTCTCGTTTCATGGAAGGCAGGTCCTTTTCTGAACAGGAAGTACCAGGAGTTTCAAGAAACTTAATTCTGGCTCCTGAAGGAGGTCATGTTGAAACCCCTCAAAAGCATAAAGTTGCACAAAAATCAAAATGGCTGCAGGAGTGCTTAAGGGAAGATGGATTTCAAACTAGGTAACCTATTTCCTCTCTTCCCCAGGCCTCCGCTCCTCCCTTCCTAGCCTTTTGTTTCTGGAACCCCGAGTCCTTCTGATGCACGAGGCTCGACTGCCATCTGATCTCAGGCAGGAACTGTCCACACTGGTGGCTGCTGGTGGCCTGGCCGACCGGATCCTCTGCGTCCTCTTCGAGTAGCCATCATGGTGGGCGTGATCCGGTTCCTTTTCCGGTCCCACTCCCCTGTCCAACAGGCCTTTGCCTGCTCTCTTGTGGTGCTCTGCATCACTCTAGAACATAAAAATTGTCATTCCCTGTGGCCACAGCTGCCAGTGTTTTTCCCATTTCTGCCTCTGGTTTTGCCAGCAATCCGAGGGAGCTCGCCTCACATGCACCCTATTCATGGCCAACTCCTTCTTTGCTCCCACTCTCCTGTGGACACTCATCTGCTTTTCCTGAATGGACGCGGAGCGCCATGGCGCAGGATTGCAAGAGTGTCCTTGGGGAGTCATAGGTTCAGAGTGGGGAAGGGACTGTACATGGCCGGGCTGCAGATGGGGCGACCAACATGGACTAATTTATCAGGAAACAGGTGAGAAATGACGGTGGCCTGCAGAAGCGTGTGATGTTGGGCTTGTGGACAAATGAACGATGTTAAGTTTATTTAACAGGATTGGTGGAAGTTACAAAGTGGATGAATGCACAAATGAGAACAATTAAAGAGTAATCAAGATATTTTAAGTGAGCAGCTCACTGCCAGGACAGACAATAGTGAATGCGGAGCATTGTTCCAGATTTTACAGCCTAGTAAAATTCCCCAATGAAAACTCGCAAAGAAAACCAACTCCCAGTGGCCAGGCTTCCGTTTTCCTAAGCTAAGAAAAATATGGTAAATGCATTATCTCAAAATTAAGAAGTCTTTTTGAGTTGAAAGCCTTTAACTTAATGGAATGCTCATTATGTTGACCTGATTGTTCTTATTCACCACTAACCACCCTGAGTCTGTAAACAATTAGAAAAATGAATTCAGGATGGGACTCTCCACGGTGTCATGACCTGACAGAGGCCATAAGCTTCAGGGAGTATCTGAGAAGCAAGCGAGAAAAGAGGTTGGAATGAGTTCCACGTGGAAGAGAAATCATTGATAAAGGCACTCAGGCGGTGCTTGGCCTTGCTTTCCTGGGTCCTGAGTCCTCTGAAGGAACCTCCCTGGTTTACATCGTGGCATGCATTCCAAGGCCGCTCACCACACCTTGGCTGAGCACCTCCTGCCTTTGTGCCAGCCTCGGCCCTTTCTCTGCGGGTTTTATGTGCTAGTGAATGAATCCCCAAAGCTGCAGCCCCCCACCAAAGTCAGAGCATGCAGGAGCCTGAAGCTTAGCACTTCTGATTCTTGCTCTAGCAGTAAAATGGCAGTTGGGCAAAAAAATTGGAATGGCCAAACCCAAACATTGGCATAACCCGAGAGGCCCCCCAGACACTACAATTCAAACCCCAAAGCCCACCCCAAACCTCCTCCACATGTACTTACTGTTGCTAGTAATTATATCCTCAAGGCTCCTGGACTTTCAGTTTACCGGTCCCCCAAACCTCAGGCCCTCCAGCCCACCCTGTTTTGAAGGGGCCGCATCTAGACGTTACCACGGGGACCCACGAAATGAAGGGCACAGGCTCCCAAGTGGGAAGAGGAATAGGAGGGGTCATCAGACCTGGTTTCTTCTTCCAAACTCCGCTACTGAGTAGGTGACCCCCTTCCTGGGGACACTGAGTGGCAGAGGGGATGGAGATGAGCCCCAGAGCTCCCCTCAGAGTGGAGAGAGGGCACGGAGCATGCTCTTTAACAGTATGGGAAAGAGTTCAAAAATGCTCTTATTTGAAGGAGTTTCTTGTTAAACATGCCCCGTTCATGGAATTTGTCCTTGTACCAGCACATTCATGACAATAACAGGGCAGTGACAAAAAGCATTGCATGAGGCTGTCACTCCTGCGGGACCTGGGAAGTTGTCCCTAGTAAATTTTAGGAAAAACAGTAATAGTGTGAGTCCTGAGGAGGCACCAGGAGAGAAGAAAATATCCAGAATATTGCTTTTCGAACAACACGTGGGGAAGAGCATCCTCTTCTTCCCAAACTGGAGCAGACGCATTTTTAATGAATTAAGAATGAATTACTAGAAAAAAGAAATGAAGTAGACATAGGATACAAGATCCTTATTTTTTGAAATTAATGAACTCAAGTGATATTACGTGATGGTCGAATTGCTTGGACAGCTTCCAGATGCTCTTGGAAATTTAGTCTGCATTTGCCCATCGCAGAGCAGTGAACATCCGCCCATCCCCGTTGCCTGGTCTGGGAAGCAGGTGTAGTCCAGCAGGGCAGGGAGCCTGAGGTCCACCTGTGGGCTGGCATTTGCCATCTGGGGCTGGCCTGGGGCCCACCTGAGTGCAGCCACCACCCCCACTGCTTTTCCTCTTGTTCCCCTTTTATAAACATCTGTTTTCTTCTTTTCTACTTTCCTTCCTTCCTTTCCTCCCAGTTCCCTTTCTTTTTCAAATGTAACCACACAATGAATCCTTCAGTGAATTCCTGAAAGGCAGCTCCAGCTTCTAGACTTAGGGTTGCCCTATGTCCTTACTGCTGTGTCCAGTCTCTCTATCAGGACCTTTCCAGCTGACCCGATCTCTCTGGGCCTCAGTTTCCTTATCCATGGACAAGAGAGACAGCAGTGCCTTGCTCACGTGTTAGGGTTGGTTGTAATGATCTGAACACAGAGCACAGAAGAGCCCCTGCACCTCCCCTCCTCCCCCTGCGACCACAGGAATGGAGGCCACTGTGGAGCAGAGTGTCCCCGAGGAAGAAGATGGAAGGATTTGAGCAAGTCAGACTGTCACTGGGCAGGACAGCAGGGGAAACAGTGCAATGTGTTTCTGTTCCCTGAGTCATGACAAGGTTGACTTGGAATTAAATGTCCAAACCACAGCATTTTTTTCTCCCAAATATATCACTGTTGTGATCTGGTGTTTGCTTTTGCAGAGGAGAGCAAGTCTGGAAGCAAGTTTGGTTTTATTTTCATGGCAGCCTGTTTTGCTCTTTAGCCTGCGTCCTCCTAGGAGTAACCCACATCTTGGTGTTTTTTCAGCACGTGTCTGGCTTGCATTTTGTCGATAAGTTTGCCTGGAATATCCTAAGTATCATTTTTTTTTTTTTTCATCTTTGGAAAGATCTAGATACTTACGTGTTTATTATTTGGAAGATATGGTATTACATGAGTAGTGTTTAAAATAGGTAAACGGAGTTTGGATAACTGTTGACATTACAGAACTACAAAGGTGATTATGGAAAAAGTCAGCATATATGCATATGTATGTATAACTAAATGAGGTTAATAAAAATAGTGGGTTTCATATTCTGCATAATATTTTCAAGAAGCAGACAGGGAAGAAGGGGCAGAAAAGCAAAATGAAATTCTCCTGAAATTCTATCCTACAGATGAGGGAATCTGCATGTTCTACTTTATTCGTAACTTCGAATATCAGCGAACAAAGCTAAAATTCTTTTGTAAATACTGGTGGTAAAGATAAGAAGAATATTTGAGGAGAGAAGAATAATGAGCTCTTGAATATGTAGAAAAAAACCCAGAGACTAGCAACAGACAAATGAAAATGAGAAAGCATAGGTGTGACAAGAGAAGACATAAAAAATTTATAAATCCCTAAAACAGGTTAAATTTGCTTATTATGAAACAAAATCTTAATACTTGAAACTAACATAACATGCTGTGTCCACTATACATAAAGAAAAAGAGACAAAAACCAAAGTCTTAGATTCTGTTAATGGAAATAAAATTCAATCATATGCTCTTAAAAAGTACACATATACTGCAAAGGAAAACTGAAATATTAAATTAACTATTCAATTAATATTAAATTAAATTAAAATCTTTGTCAGGTAAATATAATACGATGGAGAATGCCGGGATATGGCCATGGGCATGTTTCCTAACTCGAAGGAGACTTCATTTTCCCGACCTTATAGTGGATGCAATAAAGGTGAAACCTACTCCATCCAGGTTGATAGGAGGATGAGGTAAGTTACCATTTATAAAGGACCTAGAACAATGCCCGGAATGTAGAGATGCTCTGTAAGTTTAGGAAAATTTCAATATGAATGAAATTTAATGCATTTAAATGAAAAATAATATATATTTACTTGGAAAAAAAATGGAAAAGGGGGGTTGGCAGTATCAGATAAGACCAAATCCAACATGAACATCAGTGTTTCCCTTGCTGCAAGGTTTGCTTCCAAATCCAGTTGATTTACATGGGAAATAATTCCAGTGATCCTTCCAGGATAAAGATTGCGTCTCTTGAACAGAATTTAGCATTTCTGCACACCGAAGGCCAAGAACTGCACAACAAATCTGTTGTGACCAATCTGATTCCTTTTTCCCATATCACATCTAATTTGTAAATACCTTGAATAACTGGAAAAACTGCTCATCAGCCTCGCAAAACTCATGGGAGAGGAGAACCCAGTCTTGCTCTTTGCAAAAGAATCTGGGAAAAATCTGGATAATTTCCAGAGATAAAGAATCTCCTCTACACTGTTACAAACACCACAGTTTGTGCTGTGCTTAATGCCCTGGGACAGATTCAAATGGAAAACCCTGCCATGTACAACTAATTAACATCATGACTCCATTATTGAGCAATTTTCGTTCAGCTGTCTCATTCTATCTTCATGAGACGAAAAAAATCCAAGTTCCCAGATTACGAAATTCCAAATCGGTAACCACATGATACCTATTTTACAGACTAGGACCTGAGTATTTATCACCACATTCTTAATGTGACTTTGTTTTTTAATTTAATTTCAATTAGCCAACATATAGTACATCATTAGTTTTGGGTGTAGTTAATGTTACTTTTACAAGCAAAACTAGCTGTGGGTCTGAGAAATCGCCAGGATACAAACGTTCCCCTTGATTCCAGATAACTGAGCTGTCATTTCTTTGGGGGAATTTGAATTTGTGATTTTTGCTGAAGAGTGCAAGTAGACGGTTCTCCGTCTCCAGCTTTCTCTACCTGTTCCCTCCAAAGACCCAATGGGTTCGGCTGGTGTTTCTGAAACATCTTCAAGCCAGATCCAGCTTGGTAAGTGCACAAATTGAATCGCATCCTTCAACACAACGTGGAATTTGAAAATAAACTAAATATATAATAAGAAAGACAAATTAAATCTTTCAAGCTCTAGCTGCCTCAGACATTGGGTGGGCCCCTCTTAGCAGGGACAGACTCCATGGAGGTCAACCCACACAGCAAGAAGTCACTTTGCAGAAGAAAGCACAGCTGATGAGACTGTCTTGGGCAACACCATGATTTTCTCCTGTCCTTTCATGTCATAAGGTTTATCACAAACCCCTTTCTAGAACAGATGATCACGTCCTATCCACTGACCCAGGTTTCTTCTCTCCCTCCCTGTCACCTGGCCTCACAACCTCTGTTCCCGGAGTTCCCGGCTCACTGCTTGCACTCCCCTGCGATGTCTGCTCCTCTGTGTCTCTCCCTCTCAGGGGCCTGGCACGGGGTAAGCTCTCACTCCTGTTACAGCTGCCTGCAGGATGGAGCAGGCCTCCATTCAACTGCCTTCCACCTTTCAGGATGCTCAAAAAAACCCATGCTCCTCGCACTCTCCTGAGTGGTAACGGGAGATGGTATCTTCTAGCCTGTCCTGAAAAACTTAACGCTCTGACCCCTGAGCATGTGTTTTTAGGTTGTGAGCAGAATATTATTTTTCTGCCCACAGAGAGGCTAGCATAGAAGTATTGTCCCCCCAGGTGGGATGCTTACTAACTTCTGACATTCAATCTCCGGGTCCTTCCTCCTGTCCAGACCCTGGGCCCTTCGCACAGAGAAGAGAACTTGAAACTTCGTATTTTAGAACACAAAGCAGGTTTAAGGCTTTCAAGATCTGCCCACACATTTTAAATGATGTGGGCTTCTCCTTTGGCCTGCTTCAGGGCAGAGACCGGCTACAAAGGAGGAAAGGTGGATCCGGTCCAGGAAAAGGCCTAAACCAGGGAGGCCCCGAGGGATTGGGCACGAGGCAAGGGGACACCAGTGTGCAGAGCTGGGCCACGCACACACCAGATCAATGCAGAGTGACCCAGCAACGCCGAGGGACAGACCTAGCTCCAGGGCGGGGGTTGCTGCCCTCGGGCACAGAGGCAAATGCTAAGAGCGAAGGGCCCATCGGAGCCCAGGGCAGATTTAACAGAGGAGAGCCCAGTGGCCTGGCAGAGGTGCCGGGACGAGGTGGGAGTCTCTGCCCTTCGAGATGCTGCCTGATCTGGAAGACCTGGCAGCTGAGCTGCTCCCACACAGCCAGCCACCAGTCCTGTTGTCGGCTTCCAGCTCCGCCTGATTCCTGATCAAGGGCCGACATGCGTGGGGCTGAGTCCTGCAATACGGTCAGTCTGCAGATCCGTCATAACAAAAGCTGCCTCCCTTGCTGGATCCACAGACGTGGCCCCAAATTAAAGAGAGCAGACTAGTCTGGATTCAGTCAACACAATCCCCAGCCCAGCTCCATTGACACACGGTGTTTATAAGGATCTAGGTATTGACATGAGAGCACTTTCTCAGCCAGTTCAGGGTTACCTGCTTCCTTACGAATCCATGGGAAGTAGGATCTGGTAAAGGCCTCTGCACATCCCGGACTCTGCTCTAAAGTGAAAGAAATGGGGCGGCTGGGTGGCCCAGTCAGTTAAGTGTCTGCCTTCGGCTCAGGTCATGATCTCAGGGTCCTGGGATTGAGCCCCACATCAGGCTCCTTGCTCAGTGGGGAGCCTGCTTCTCCCTCTGACTCTGACCCTCCTTCCTGCTCGCTCTCATGTGCACTCTCTCTCTCTCTCTCAAATAAATAAATAAAATCTTTTAAAAAATAAAATAAAAAATAAAATGAAAGAAATGTGTGGGCCATGAGCTTGGGGTTAAGAGAGAGGCAGTAAAAAGAGAGGAGATAGTCTTTTCTGGGGAGAAACCTACTGAACTCAGCTATGTTATGGCAGCTCCTAGCTCGTTGCTGAGGAAGTCAGAGGACCCAGGCGCTAAGGATGGCTCTGGTCTTACTAGATCCTTTTATTGCTCCCTCTACCCCATTCCTGCACACAGCACCATCCAGAAGACCAAGCTTCTGACCCTCGCAAGATCCCCAGGCTCACTTCCTAGTCACTTGTTTTAACTCATTTCTCACCACGCCTCAGCCTGTTCCCATTATCCTTGACTTAGGGACACATCCTCAGACACGTAACAGACTTGGCCTCCGAGGGCGCTGGCCTCGGTCTCCTTCATCTCTATTGGCTCCCCTTGCTTGTCCTCCTTAACCCCCTGAACAAAGGCTCCCTGGTTCTGCGGTCCAGCCCATCCTTGCAAGCCTGCCCTGAGCCCTAGGGACCTGTCTCTGTCCCTGGATGAGGCCTGCTTTCTCCCACCCACCGCCTGTCCGGTGATCTGATTCAATCCACTTGAGTGGGGCAGGAGTAAGCAGGGGAGGCAGCTGCATGGTCCCACAACAGAGCGGACGGATAAGCCCGGATCCCGGGGAGCACCTCAGGGAATGCCTCACAGGAGGGGCAACTTCATGCCTATTCTGGACAACGGCAACACCTGCTTCCCAGGGACCTCACTGATGTCCACGGAGAGCGTCGCATGTCACAGCGGTTTCATCCTGGCCGCTTCCCTGGGGCAAGTGTGGCCAGACTTCTATCACCCCTTGCAAAAGTGGCAGGTGGCCCAGCAGGATCTAGAGGGCACGCTCCTCAGATGCACCCCAGCCTGGAGGCCCAGGCCAGTCGCAGGCCTGTATCTCCACTCAAGACCCCTATCCTCCAGCCCCCATCAGCCCTGGCATTGCACTACGTCCTGCATGGCCCGGCACAAACACTGCTGGTCCCCAAAGGCCATCCCCACTGAGTGTTGCCAGGCCATGCACAGAACCTGGAATGTCAGGGGAACGTCTACCGGATCTTCCCTTCTCCTCCCAAACTCAGGTCTTAGAGAGCACTTGACAAAAGGGGCCAAAGGTTGGCTTTATTATGGGTAATGCCTGGGCAAGTGCCAATGAGGGGCCACAGTCAGGCTTTATTCATACTTCTGTGGAAGGACTGACTGGCATACACTCACACTCATCCTCAGAGGTTGTTCTGGAAAACTGCAAACCGCGTGCCTCCCTGTCAGGGACAGAGCCCACCCCACGAAGGAACAGAGGACTTGTGCTCTCTATAAAAAAGGGGGCACCACAGGGTGCACAGAGAACCCCCATTTGCTCCTTGTACCCCAATAGCAGTTAGGTCACCCCTGCTTTCTGGAGATGAGAAGCTATGGAGGCAGGTGGGGACCCTACGGATGGACGTTCTTTCTGCTGGAGGAAAACAGGGTTGCCCTCAGTAATGTGCAGTGAGGGAGGGATCTCTGAGAGGTGAGAGGTTGGGAAAGGAGGTGGCCAGCTAGGGATGGATGGGTGTACCCCCAAAGTCTGGACTTTTGCCCCCTAGGGAGCCCCAAGGTGTCACAAGCTGGTGGCAAGGGGTGGTACCTGCAATGAGCATGGGTTTGCCTGCAGTGATTGGAAACCCCTTCTCAGGGTGGAAGCTGGTGGTCAGCACCTGCTGATCATACCAGACACCTCTGGGAAGATGCAGAATTTCTGAGTTAATTGGTGGGGACCATCCAGGCACTGGATTTGGAAAGTGCCACTGAGTCAACTGTGGATCCTGGCTTTTGTTATAAGCCACAAGCGGGGAGGATTCAGGGTTGGATGGAAAGACTTCCTATTCCCCAGAAGGAGACAGGGACCTCTCCTGGGTTGGTGAGATGCCCCAGGGGAGAAGGACATGGGAGAGGCCTGGTGGCCAGCAGGGAATTTAAGCTCAGGTACAGGCTGGCTGTACATGGCCCCTTGCAGTCAGAGCTGCACGGGTCAGAGAAAGATGGGTGCTCAAGAAGCCCCCCGATTCCAGAGTAGGGGCGAGGCATCCTCGGGGAACTCTGGGAGTGAGGGACTGCCCTACTTTTGGGGCAGAAGCCCTCCTGAGAAGGGGAGAGACAAATCCCCAAGAGAATGAGTCACCCTAGAGGGGTCAGGTGTATGTATTAAACTTACACGACCCTCGAACCTCTAACACAGGTCTAGAATTCATTCTTGTTTTGCTTGTTTTCGGTTGTCCAGCTGTGAGCTAGGGAAAATGAGGGCTTGTGCACAAGGTGAACTCTGATGGCGAGAAAGCAGGATGGCACCTTTCTTCTGGCATCGTGGTTATCTCTGTTAGTTTGGAGCGTGCAACACAGAGGTCTAGCTAGCAGGTGGTGGCTGGAGACACAGCTCCCGCGCACCCTTGGAGGTGCCCCAGGGACACTCCCCTGTGGGCTGGGGCAGCAGGGAAGGAGACACCCCTTTGCTTTAACCAGCTCGGGGCTCAACAGGAAAACTTGGTGGAGTTTGTTCTCCATGTTTGTCTCTGCGGACCCCCTTGATTTTTTTCCTGGAATGTTCTTCTGCATCTGTGCAATATAAAGCTGTGGCGAGGATGGGTACCATTTGGCGGCTCCCTGACATTTCTCAATCTTATCCCTATTTCTCATCTCTGTTGATTCCCACAGCACATACCTAGAAAAGAAATGTGCCCCCAAACACCCACTGGAGCATTACATAATCTTCAGGGCAGGAAGACAGGCAGTGAAGGCCTGATCTGTGCAAATGCCCTTCTCAGGCGCCTGGCTCTTGGGGGAGGTCAGTCCCCCCATCAGCAATGTGCAGAGTCGGCATGTAATTATATAATTCTCTTAGCTGCGGGAGGGCTGAACTGCGGCTTCTTGGGAAGGACTGGGTGTATCTGAGCACGTCTTTCCTTAAAGCATGGCTGTCCTTTATCCCCTGAGCCCCCTGCAATGCTGTCCCCACAGGGCTCAGGGGCTTACCTGATTCCCTGGATTTGTGACTCTCCCACTGGGGAGACGCCGTTGTCCCTATTCTATGTTCTGAATGACTTTTTTTTTTTAATCTAACAAGCTCACCATCTGTCTTAAAATTTTTCTTTTGGTTCTAGAGGACAAAGAATTTCACGTTGCTGAGTGAATATATGTAATAAACTAGTTTCCAAAACTAGAATATCCACATTCTCCATAGCCTATGAACATTAATGTAGTGGCTTTAATTTAATTATTTGCCATAGGTCAATATATTTCGTATTTCTCTGAGACCATAAAAAAAAAAAAAAAAGATTTTGACATCATTTTAATGAGCCAAATTAAAAGTATTGTGATTTTGGTGCCATTATTATTATTATTATTAATGTGAAGCGTTGCCAGACAAAAGTAAGCTTACGAATGCAGGATACTTGAAGGGATGATGTACTGAGCAAGATGGTGTCCCTCACGTCAACCAGTAGCTCTTGTCAAGCGGTGACCCCGGCAGCTAAGAGCGTTGCTGCTAAGATTAGATACCACCCAAACTGTACTGGCTGCGGACACACCCAGGACCAATACCCAGCAGAACCAGAGGAAGTCTGCAATGGCCTAGGACTGATTAACTCCCTTTAAGAGGATTTTTGATGCACAATGTCAGACTTTCTTGACTCTGACCACATCAAAAGTCAGGTGCTGCCCGAGGCTCTGTCCGACTGATCTCCGAAGAGAACAGCGATCCTCTGCTGTCTGAAGGTCATGAGCAGCATGGGGCACGGGGGCAGCTGACCCTGACGCTGACTGCATCGAGGCCTCCCTTCCACTGTGCACGCACGGACTGACTCTGAGTCTGGGTCCTTAGCTTCCTATCCCCTGATCTATCTTGTTTCCCGTGTGACTTTGACTTCTGCTTGGGTTCATGTGCCGTGTAAGAGGCCAAGACAAACGTGTGAGATGTCATGGAGTCTGGAATCCTGACCCTGCTTTCTAATTATGTCCACCTTGCTTTAGGACTGAATAAAGCTGACATTGTGGAAGGGCACAACTCATGTGTGCACCTTCATACCATGCTCATGACATGCCCGTTTCCCCAAACAACCCAGAAATCTGTGGTTAGCAATGACTAAGGGTTTATTTAACCCAGATTGTGAGGCCCAAAAATAATCAGCTGGCATTGGCTGGCTGGGCTCTAAACTATTAAATACAAGTTTGGGGTTATTTACTCTTTCCTGAGCGTAGCTATGATTGTATATGCGAAGCCATAAAAGCTGAGACTTGGCCTGTGGACATCAGAGTCCCACGCCTTCTTATGGGTGAACTTTTTGCTCCTAGAACTGAGGAAATTTCTAGAATGGTCTGGATCTCTCTTCTTCTTGGTTATGTTCCTTTCCTCTGTGCGTCTTTTGAATCCAGTTTCCTCTCCCAGGCAAGTAGAGACTTCAGCACAGCCTGGGCTGAGCTTGATTTCCAGGAGTCTGGGGTTGGGGGTGCAGGTGATAGAGGAACTTCTGTTACCGAACCAAAGCAGGTCCACCCTTGGGGAATCATAGACACACCAGGTGGAGCTGCCTCACAGGGTCCCCTGTATTTGCAGCAAATAGGGACATTACAAGGAGTGATTTCCAAAGTCATGACTCTCTCAACAGGGGTAAACAGTCTCCTTTTATTTTTGGATTGGGATGAACAAATCACAGGGTGATTTTAACATCATAATGAAGCTGAGGTAACTGTGTATATAGATCACATTTTCCTTATCCATCCGTCTATCGATGGACTCTTGGACTGCTTCCATGTCTTGGCTATTGTAAATAATGCTGCTATAAACATAGACGTTTTCGTTTTCCCTGGGTAAATATCCAATAGTGGAAATACTGGATCATTTGGTATTTTAATTTTTAATTTTTTTTAGGAAGCCTCATATTGTTTTCCACGGTGGTTGAACCAATTCACATTCTTACTAGCAGTGCATGGAAGTTCTTTCTCATCTACATCCTCACCAACACTTGTTGTTTCTTGTCTTCTTGATTCTAACAATTCTAACAGGTGTGAGTTGATATCTAATTGTGGTTTTGATTTACATTTCCCTCATGATTACTGATGAGCACCTTTTCATGTGTCTGTTGGTCATATGTAGTCTTCTTTGGAGAAATACCCATTCACGTGCTCTGCTCATCTTTTAAACAGATTGGGTTTTTTGGTGTTGAGTTGCATGAGTTCTTTATATGTATATTAACCCCTCATCAGATATATCCTTTGCAAATATCTTCTCCCATTCAGGATGTCTTTTTGTTTTGTTGATGGTTTCTTTCACCATGCAAAAGCTTCTTATTTTGGTGTAGTCCCAATAGTTTACATTTGCTTTTGTTTCCCTCACCTCAGGAGACCTATCTAGAAAAACGCTGCTATGGCCGATGTCAGAGAAATTGCTGCCTGTGCTTTCTTCTAGTATTTTTATTATTCAGGTCTCACATTGAGGTCTTTAATCCATTTGGAGTTCACTTTTGTGTATGGTGTAAGAAAGTGGTCCAGTTCCGTTTTGCATTTTTCCCAGCACCATTGGTTAAAAAGACGGTCTTTTCCCCATTGTATATTCTTGCCTCCTTTGTCGTAATTAATTGACCATATAAATGTGGGTTTACTTCTGGGGTCGCTATCCTGCTCCATTGATCTATGTGTCTGTTTTGGTGCCAGTACCAGACTGTCTTGATAACTACAGCTTTGTAGTAAATCTGGAATTATGATACCTTTGGCTTTGTTTTTCTTTCTCAGGATTGCTTTGGCTACTTGAGATCTTCGGTGGTTCCATACAAATTTCAGTATTATTTGTTCTAGTTTTGAGAAAAATGCTGTTGGAATTTTGGAAAGGGATTACCTTGAATCTGTAGATTGCTTTGGATAGTATTACATAGCCATAAAAAAGGATGAGACTATGCCATCTGAGACAACATGGATAGATCTAGAGAGTATTATGCTAAGTAAAATGATTCAGACTGAGAAAGACAAATACCCTAAGATATTCCACTTATAAATGGAATCTAAAAATGAATAAATAAAAAAACACAGAATCAGAACTATAAATAGAGAGAACAATTTTTTTTTAAAGATTTTTTTTAAATTTATTTGACAGAGAGAGACACAGCGAGAGAGGGAACACAAGCAGGGGGAGTGGGAGAGGGAGAAGCAGGGTTCCCGCTGAGCAGGGAGCCCGATATGGGACTCGATACCAGGACCCTGGGATCGTGACCTGAGCCGAAGGCAGACGCTTAATGACCATGGATTCTGAGAAACAAACTGAGGGTTCTAGAGGGGAGGGGGGCGGGGGGTTGGGTTAGCCTGGTGATGGGTATTAAAGAGGGCACGTACTGCATGGAGCACTGTGCGTTATGCACAAACAATGAATCATGGAACACTGCATCAGAAACTGATGATGTAATGTATGGTGACTAACATAACATAATAAAATAAAATTAAAACATTTTTTCGTCTTTTTTCATATGCACTTATTTTATTTCATGACATGCCTTTCTTATTTTATAATTTCTTCTTCTTGGCGCAGTATTATTATCTCACTATTATTATTCACTCTAATGTCACTTTCAGTACTTTAAATAAATATAATGATCTGTTTGTATTGCTGTTTTAACTTTCTTTATTCTAGAACAGGATCATCGAGTTTTATCGGTTTGTTTTGTTATTTATTTTCTAGGATATTACTCTGCCTGAGGTTATTTGTGACTCGGATCTGACCTCATCTCCTCTAGCAGATTTCTCTGATTCAAAAGAACTCATCTTCTCCTGGGAATCTCTAAATGCCTCCATGCTTCAGCACCTAGGAGACCTTCCTTACAGGTAAGGAAGATGAGAAATGCCCCCAAACACTGCCCCCCATCTAAATCTTCTAAAATCTAATTCAAAATGAGAGCGCACAGGCAGAGACCTGTTCTGCCTGGCTCACTCTGGTATGCCAGCCTCCAGCACAAGGACCGGTGAGCAGTAGGGATGTAATAAATATTGGTTGGATGGATAGATAAGTGAATGCTCCAGATGCAACCTCCAATTCCCCATGCTTGAAGACAAAAACTGTTGTAACTTGCAACAATGGCAGTTCATCCCAATTAAAAATATAATAGCAGTATTTTGATTTCACAAGTCAGTCCAGAATCACTGCATTTTTTCTAACAACTCTGCTGATCCACATCACGTTTCCAGCACTAAAACATGCATGTTCATGGTGACCCACGCATTGTTTCTGGGGGAAGTTGAGAATCACACTGCGGAAAGGCATGTGGATCGAACAATGGTCACCATTCAACTTCCATGGTGCTGCATTTGCCAGGGAGATGCACCTGAGCACTAGAGATCTTCCGTCCTTGTTTTTTTGGGGGGGGGGCGGGGTTCCTTTAGCTCAAAATGAATGCACTGGGGTTTAACTTCGTGTGGCTTTAGGGGAATAAATGCATGCACATTGCACTTAAGAAGAGCATGTGTCACATTCAGTCCTTTAAAAGACATTGTATAAAGTGCTATCACCTTGCCAAGCCCTCTATACTGAGGTTATGCTCACTGATACCAATTCTGGAGAGATCTAGTGAACCAGCAGTCCACTAGGGTAGGGGAAAGAGCCCACACTACTTAGCCCAAGTTTTTTTGTTGGCTTTTGAGATGATATAAAAAATAACATAAAGAAAAGAAAAGAAAAGAAAAACTTCAGCCTTTTGTGTCCCGAGATTGTGAGACAGGAACCCTGCAACAATATCAAACTGAGGGACTCTCTTGGTTTGTGTCATAAAGGGATACAAGTTGGAAACTGTAAGAGACAATGGATAGATGGGCCTCCAGGTTCTAAGGGGGGGTCAAGAGCAGTTTCAGAAACAAGTATGGAGTCGTGAGAGCTTCAGAGATAATTGCTAAGGAAACACTGGAAATCCATGGCTTCCAAACTTTGAAGTCAGACCTGGCTGCTAACAAAACTACCATCTACCATGTTTGCACATTTAGAAGTCTTGTAACCCTAATACTCTTCCATTTCCCATTCGTACTCTGGGCACGAGACCACCGATTGCACTTGTCCATAGGGAAAAAAAGGAGAGAAAGATAGCTTATGTAAAGGCACACGGCACTGAGGAATTGTTCAGTCCACCTTCCTGTCTACCTGTGCATCAGGGTTGGGACATTGCAGGTGCCACGGTGACTTTCAGACTATAACCCGTGGTCTCCCGCAATCCACACTGTGCCACGAATCTACACCACTGGTCCCACGTAGCCACAGAAAGCTGCATTAATGTCATTCTGATCTATTGAACATCTTGCTGGTCAAGCACAACTTCTTACTTTGGCTTCTATTCTGGTGCTATTCCTTTGGACACAGCGCCCTTCCTCCCTGCCTTTCAAGAGCTCCCAAAGTTCTATAGACTGAATCAGTGCTAAGACCTACTCGCTACCTGGATCACTCTATGTTTCCCTTGTCTTTCCCTCTTTTTTAAAACACAAATTTTATTATTATTACTCAGGTAAGCTGAGGCCAATGGATCAGGAGATGACTGTGATAGTAAATGCAGTCTGTTAATCACAGATGCCAAGAGGCGGAATGCCCTGAATGATGGGGGGGTGGCACACGGGGAAGCACCAGGGTCACCAGGAGGCAGAAGTAGTGGGTGGAGGGGTAAACACGGCTTTACTGTGGCTTCCCCAGGGAGAAATAGGCTCTGCTGTGGAGGCAGGTTTGGAATTGGCTAATTTGAATAATTTCAGAGGGCTCTTGGGTGTAGGGGCTGGTCTTCGTTGCCTAGTACTGGGGGCAATTAGTTTCGAGAAATAGTGGCCAGGAGCGTAAGCACCCCGATAAAGGGAGTGGTCAGGCATGGGCTCTGGATTGGTTGGCCCTCACATGACAGGCACACTTCCTGGGGCGTCTTGCACTATGTCTTGGAATTGGCGGGCCCTGCGAGGGGCAGTCTCTCCAGGGTTGACAAGTCCCTAGTGTCAAAGCACCCAAAATACAGAAAATTAAAAGGCCTGACTCAGAAACTGTCTTTTCTCTTGGCACTTTCATTCAACTATATATTCTGATTTGTTAATTCATCCAGCTTACCTAATAACCTTCTTAACAAAGGGATGCTTCCTTATTCAAGCTTATGATTTTGCAACATTTACTAGTGTCAACTGCTTATAGTAAGTACTCAGTGGGTATTTGTTCATCGAAGGAGAGCACAACAGACATTTTACTTGACAAGTGGCAAAGAGAAGAGAGGGCAGCAGAGATGAGGAGGGTGGTTACCAAGGGTTGCAGGCAAAGGGAACCAATAAAGAAAATTAAACAGTATGTGCATGCTTTGTCAGCAAGACTCATCATCTGATCTCTAAATGCATTGCCTCTTAGCAAAAAAAAAAAACACAAAACAAAACAAAAAAGCAAAACCAAAACCAAAAAAAACCCAACCTCACAGAATACAAATGTGCTAGTGATTGGTAAGAGCTGAAGGGTAACTCCTATCTTCCTACCCCAGGTATTTATTGTCATGTCCTCATTTTTAGCACCTCCTAGAAAACCCAACATTAACTTGACTACAGTAATAGCACGGGAGAATTTTCTGGTTAAATAGGTTGCATGTAAGATGCACATCCAGGAACAGGGATGGGCAAGAGTGCAAGCTGACCAGGATCCTTCCCTCTTAGTGGTTCCCAGAATGGCTGGGCTTGGTGGCAGGGCTTCCACTGCTCAGATGATTTCAAGAGACAAATGCAGAGGCAGGGACCCAGAAAACCGCAAGACCCTGGGAAGTTTGCCACAGCTTTACTTCAAACCAATCTTTCAAATCAGATTTGCGGATGCCTCTTCTACTCAGTGGGGAGTTTGGAGGACGATAGAACGTTTGTCCAGTATGTGTTAATCTAATGATTCATCTCCATTTAACAGCTTCAAAGCATCACAAACACAAGACACTCATTAAAGCTTACAAGTGAGGCATAAAGCCAGCCGGCGATTTTGACGCCGAGCTTTGACATCAAACTGCTTTTGGGAAACTGGTTGTCTCTGCTCTGACTGGGACAGAATCTACTTTCCTTTTGAGGCACGAGACTTCAGGAATAAGTCCAGCGCCAGCTTTCAGTGGAACCGCCCAGAATATAGGGCTAAAGAGATCACATGGGATGTTCACATACAGCCCCACACTTGCTGGGCTGGTCCTCTTGCTTTACCGAAGAGCACGATGAACTCTAGAAGAGTCTCAGCACAGAGGCACCGCAGGGCACGTTCACTGCGCCAGGGACGGGGCCTTGTCATCAGCTCTCAGCTCCTCTCGCGTACTTCCCCATCACCTATGCTTCCCAGCTTCCGCTGGATCCGCCCTCCACAGAGTGTCCCGGTTGGCCCTGCATCTTCATGCCTTCCTCTTTCCTGGCTCCAGTCTTCCTACTGACGTCTCACTCAGATCGGACCCTCCTACAAAAAGGGCCTTCTGAGTCCATTGCTTGCATAAGCTACCGTCACAGTGTCCTTCTCTTTGCTGCCGGGAGCCTGAGCATTGTCCCTTCCTCACCCTGGATTCCCCAAATGGCCCCCTGAAACTTCTCTGGGAAGGTCATCTTGACTGCCGGACACAATAGCCTTCTTTCATTTTTCTAGCCAGGCTACTTCTCCCCACATGTTTGCTCTTATAAGGGCAGGTTCTAAACCACACGTTCTCCCCTTCTTAGCAGATGGGGCTAACTCCAGACTGGACAGGCCCCGCAGTCTGTCCCCGAGCACAGAGAGACAGGGGAGGGAAACAGAGGGGACACAGACACCACCACAGCCCCTGTCTGTGTGGCCCACGCCGTGCACATCTCTACAGTGAGCTTAATAATAGCACCTACTCAGGCTTGCTATGCGATTGGACATGCTCACATATGGAAAGTGTTTTGAACAGTTTCTGGAATGCACAAGATTTGAGAGTCTTTGTTACGTGTTGCTACTCCTTCTACTTCATTTCTGGTCCAGCCTCCACTTCCCTCTGGCCAAACACTTATGTTGGACTTTTGACCTTGGACACAGGCTTTCTGTAGGAATGTGGCCTGTGGGTTTTCTCATCACCTTGCAGAGGGATGAACATCCTTGGTTGCCCATTGTCACCAGATGTCGTGTATTTAGTCTCTGCAGAGATCAGGAACTGTTGCAGGAGCGCACAAGTCTGCCACTTGGCCTGTGGTTTGGAAGTGGACCAGTGCGGAGGTTTTGACACATGTCTGGGGCTGGAGGGGAGGGTGTTCTCACCTGCTCCAATTCCAAAGTTTTGAATTAGATTCAAGCCGCACTGTGAGGATCTTCCAGAGATTCCAGACTTGGCTAGTGCATGCGGAGAGTCACCTGTTTCCTCTACATCATCCACCAATGGTGGCTGGTTCCTGTTATTTCCCATTTCCCAGAGAGGGACAGCCAAATGTGCGAAACCAGAGAGAACTCTTTTACAGTTTGAGTCTCATTTCAGCAACTATCATTAGCCAAACCAGTCTAATTTTAGTGATCTTAGAAAGAAAGAGAAGAGAAGTAGAGGACATTCTGTGGGAGGAAGATCCCTGGAAAGTTCTGTGTGCTGACCTCCGAGGGGCAGTCCTGGCCCAGTGCCTGGCTGGTCCGGACGGGCAGCAGGTGCCGCTCAAGAGCGGTGGTGTTCCTCTCACCGCGTCCGAGACTGCCCAGTGCAGGGGCAGGTGGCCTTGGAATTTTGAGCGTCTTCAGACCTTAGGCTCCCACCTCTCCCTCCGCCCTCCGGTGGTGACCCTGGTGCCTTCTACTCTCCCACCTGCAGGAACAAAATGTGCACTCTGGTCACTTATGTGGACTTCCGGTGTCTCTAGTCAAGGTTATTGGGGAGAGAGCTTCTGTAAACAACAATAACAGAAACACTTAATGAGGACTTTTAACGTATCACGTGACAGAACTTTTATAACCAAAGATAGGATGCTTGAACCAAGCAATCAGAAAGTAAAGTTTGGGGGATTAAAGTATTTGGCAAACATTCCCAAGATGCTGACTCGATACAAAACAGCATAGACTTTGTATAAGACACAGCTTTTTTTTTTTTTTTTTTTTCCTTGAATCAATCACTTGGTCATATAAAGAACACAAGAAAAACAAGAAGTTAGTATTTATTTGGTTTAGTAAACTCAATCAGTGTAACATGTGTAGTAGTACATTTTTGTTGAAGATTTTAATTTTTTGATAGAGTGCGAGAGAGAGCACAAGCGAGGGGTGGCAGGCAGAGAGAGAAGCAGGCTCCCCGCTGAGCAGGGAATCCGAGGAGCAGGGAGCCCGATGCGGGGCTCGATCCCAGGACCCTGAGATCATGACCTGAGCTGAAGGCAGATGCTTAACGACTGAGCCACCCAGGCGCCCCTCTAGTACTACATTTAAAATTTTCAAGTTCTGAGTTCTTTCTGGTATAATTTAACCTTTGACCACATTTTCCAGCTTATATAAGTTTCTCGTGCCACATCTAAGGCACTTCTTAGTTTATAGAGTCATTCATGCAACTAATAGTAACTCTTTGTCTGTTACAGGCTTCCCCCTGGCACTTCAGCCTGGCCTCTTGGGAAGTGAGCACGCCATCACAGACTTCTGAATTTCCACTAGACAGGTGCTTGCACACAGGGAAAGGAGACAAAGTTGCCATCCACACAGAAACTTTGAAGAGCTTGGGCAGCCAGAGCAGGGCTGGTTTGAGGTGCTGATCCACAGGCAAAGGTCCCCTAGGAGCCCAAGCCACTGGGGTGGGGCTGCAGGTGGGGCCAGGGCAGGGCAGGGGGGCAGGGCTGGAGGGGGGCCTCCTCTGATCCTACACAGTCACCCATCCCCTGAGCTGGGAGACGTGGGGCTCGGACCTCTGGGCAACGTGGCAGGGAAGCCGGGCTGTGTGGGGGTGGACCTGGTCCGGGGACAGTGTATCGGGAGAATCAAAACGAGCCCAGCCCCAAGGGAAGATGAGGTGCTGAGGAAAAGATGGGCAGGAGACCATTTGGACTTCTGAGTATTACAAGTTCATTTATTTAGACTGCTTTAACAAACAGTCCTTTCTAATTTCTAAAAGCAAATATTACTAGAAACAGAAACATTGTTTCTCTGTCATTCTACACTGCACACCTTCTCCCCAGTTGACAATTGGCTTTTAGTTTTTTCCATGATGTGTCAACCATGCAGGTGATCAGGCATCTGTGTTTCCCTGCGTGGGGTTTGCTGTCTCCGCTCACTGCTCTTCCCCAGGGTCTCCTGCCCCCGTGGCGGGCCTGCCCCCCAGAGGAGTGTGGACAGGCGCTCCATTAATCCACGTCTTTGTGTCCTTTGGGAAGGTTTTGTAGTTTTGTTCAAAAAGGTGCTGCATTTAAATTCGGTGCCACTTACAAATATTGTTTTCCATAACATTTCTAATAGTTACTTCTGAAATATAGAAGCATATAATTCTTGTTCATTTGTTTTTCTCATCAGTCACCTTGAATTGTTTGTGTGTGTGTGTGTGTGTTTGAATCAGTAGACCAACTTAGTATTTATGAATAATGATTGTTTGTTAATAGAACTTTCTATTATTTGTGACATATTTCTCAGATTTCTTCAAGTTTTGTAACAATGGTTACTGCTTACAGAAAAATGTGAATTATAAACTTGATGGCAAATAACCTTGCCTCATTCCGGATTTTAATGGGAATGACACCATAGTTCTGAATTAGCTATGACAACAGCTATGGATTCCTCAGTCACCAAGTGAGTTTTTCAAGAGTATATATGGAGGGGCGCCGGGGTGGCTCAGTTGTTAAGCGTCTGCCTTCGGCTCAGGTCATGATCCCAGGGTCCTGGGATCGAGGCCCGCATCAGGCTCCCTGCTCCGGGGGAAGCCGGCTTCTCCCTCTCCCACTCCCCCTGCTTGTGTTCCCTCTTTCTCTGTCTCTCTCTTCTCTGTCAAATAAATAAATAAAATCTTAAAAAAAAAAAAGAGTGTGTATGGAATCCTACCATAGTCTTGTGAATCTACTGAAATGGGGGTGCTTTTTTTAATCCTAGATCCAACGATGTGATGAATTATATTAATTTCCTAAAGCTAACATGGGAATCTGGATTCCTAAATTACATTAATTTCCATTCCAGTCAACATGGAAGTCTAGGTTGATAAAAGGTTTCCTCTCAGAACACTGTTTTGCCAGATTTTCTTGCCTGTGAGAAGCCTGCTCTCAACTGAACGTGGTTCCACAACTGATGTCCATTTTGTCTCCTAAAAGACCACCATATCCAGTTGTTCATGTCCCCCACTTCACAATCTAACAAGTGCTAGTAACAAACAGGTCAGCCCATGAGCCTGGGAAGAGCTGAGTTCTGACTTTCTGCTTTTCTGAAAACATGGATTTATTTAAATTTATTCTATTCAGTATTTGGTGTACATGGGGAATAGAAGTCTCCCAGCTTTCTTTCATTCTGGAAACCTCTTAGCCATCATTGGTTTCAATATCATCTTTCTGTCAATCTTTCCTGCCCTGGACGGAAGTCCTCCCTATCCGTCCTCCATCTATTACCTACTTCTTCTATGTATCCTGTAATCACTTTATCTCCCTGGTGAGCTTCTGTATCTGTTTTTTTGTTCTTGCACTTGTGTTTTAATTGTTTTAACTCTGGGCTTTTGTCCTAAGAAAATTCTTCAGTACAACTATGCAGGGTTTTTGGGTTTTTTTTAAGATTTTATTTATTTGACAGAGAGAGAGAGAGCACAAGTAGGCAGAGTGGCAGGCAGAGGGAGAAGCAGGCTTCCCGTTGAGGAAGGAGCCTGAGGTGGGGCTCGATCCCAGGACCCTGGGATCATGACCTAAGCTGAAGGCAGCCACTTAGCCGACTGAGCTACCCAGGCGCCCCACAACTATGCAGTTTATTGACTTTGTAGTCAGCTAGAGCCCCCACATCTACTGATAATTTTTATCATGATGATTATATTTTCAACTCCAAGTTTTGTTCATATATGACAGAATGCTTTTATTGAAACAAACTTTGGACTTCAGGTTAGTGCTGGGATTATAGAACAGTTGCAAAGATAGCACAAAAGAATTCCTTTATACTCTGAATCCAGATTCCCATGTTGTTAGTACAGAACCTACATGATTATTATACGTTTGTCACAAGTGATAACTCAACAGTGATGCATTACTTTTAACCAACCTCCATATTCAGAGTCCCTTAGTTTTACCTAATGCCCTTTTTGGTTCCAGGACCCCATCTGGGATATCATATTACATTTAATCACCTTGTCTCCTTAAGCTCTTCTGGGCTGTGACATTTTCTCAGACTTGCTTTGTTTTTGATGACGTTGGCAGTTTTGCAAAAAATACTGATCAGGAGTTTTATAGATGATCACTCAGTTTGTATTTGTTTGATGTTTTTCTCATGATCAGACTTGTATTACAGGTTTTGGAAGGAAGACCACAGTGTAAAGTACCCTTTTCATCATATAATGTGAAGAGTCCCAGCTCTCAACATGAGCTGACAGTGAGGTGTTGACCTTGATCACCTGGCCAAGGCTGTGTTTGCTAGGTATGCCCACCATAATGTTACCTTTCCCCCTTTCTATACTGTCCTGTTTGGTAATACATCACCAAGGATTCCCCACCTATGGATGATCCATGAAGCATGACCCATAGGTGGGGGGCTGAGCAAATCCTTCTTGATGAGGAAATGTCTACATAAGCTCCTTGGAATTCTTCTGTATGGGAGATTTGTATTTTATTTCCCATTTACTGGTTCATGCAGTCATTTCTTTGCATCAGTATGGACTCAAAGTTGGTTCTAGTAGGAGAGATTTAGCATCATCTTTTAAACTTGAATTACCCACAGGTAGATCAGAGGAGGTACTTTCTTTGGAAATAGGAAACTCGTGTGTGTGTGTGTGTGTGTGTATTAGAATAAATTGTCAGGAAAATCTCTCTGAGGTATGAAGGGTTGGGCAGGATCCCATATGAGAGGGCAGCAAGCACTGGGCTGACATGATGGATCGTTGGCTCAGCCAGTGCAATGCCTTGCTTGCTCCCGGAAAATGAAGCTTTTGGTTCACGTCGGCACATGGTACTTGACAATCAGGTCCACGTTTTCTGCCCTCTTCAATAATTGAATTCTACATCATTTTGGCAAGTTTTTTTTTTTTTTTTTTTTTAGTGAGGAAATGTATATAAAACACAACACAAAATAATGAAAGCATAATAATAAAATTTGGCTTAGAGGACATCTATTAGGAATTCTTGATGTACATAAATATCTTTATGGGGGATTTCTTGGAAAGGGGGAAGAATGTAAGAACACAGAAGGTGAATGTATACAAAAATCCGTGTGTGTCAGCCCAGGATTGAGGGAAACCAGAGCTGGAAGCCTCTTTGCATTTGAATAAGAGATTCATGTTGGAAAGTACAGAAAATACATGCTGTGTTCTCACTTATGGAATCACACTGAGGGTTCTCTCCATGGGGTAGAGGTGCATGGAAAGCTTTTGGGAGTCAGACAAATAGACAAATACAGCATTAGAGAACAATGCTAATCTGTCCACAATGGCCTGTATGTTGTCAGCGGGCCTTTGATGTCTGTTTGTGGGCACCACATTTTACATCTTGGGTTAGCCATTCAACCCCCTGAGATGTCTTGATTGACAAAATAAAGACCTTGGGCCATTCATCTGTTAGATCAAAAGACTTGGAGGCTCACCATTTTCCCCTTAAACTCTCGACATCCTATGATTGATGTAATCTACATTCACACTTGTGTGTCTAGTTTATCCATTTACATGGCAGTGTAATATTCTGTTACTACTCACCAACACCTTTCCTAAGACTGTGGTGGGGTACAGTATCTGAGTTGTTAGGAATTATCCACCTGGCATCTGGGACTCCCAAACCTCAGCATCTGATTCCTAAAAGCACAGGTCTGGCAGGAATTACAGGTAGAGATTCTCTTTAGGGTATTCTTTGTTCTTTATTTAGACAGTTTACAATTTCAGTTAAAATTTACATCTCTAACCATTAACACTCTAAGGATTTAATAGTTGCACTCATGAAAAAAAAAATACTGTCAACAGGGTTTGGAGAAATAGCCCCTCCTCTTTAGGTCCCTCTCGGTAAGTGATGCACTGGGGAAGTGAGGTGGTAGCTGTGAAGGTCAAGTTCGTGAGTTAAAATCCTGTGTTCCACATGGAGGTAAAGACTGCATTTCCCAGTTTCTTCCTTCCATGAGAGACAAAGCCACATGGGTCTCATTTAATCAAAGTCTAGGTCTTGCAGGGACAGGGGGAATGATCAGCTGTTCTAGATGGCGAGGTAGAGGGAAGGAAGACTTGGGCCTGACTTTGAAATTCTGAATTTCCAGCAAGTTCCATAGGAACTTGCCTGAATCATGAATCATGTAATTGCTTTGAGTCAATATCCTAATCTGTACCTAAGAATAATCCCCGCTTTGCTCATTTTACGCTGTGGACTGTGAAAATCTCAAGGTAATACAGGTCGATCTGTTCAACACAAACTGTTCAGTAAATCAGTAGGAGGCTAGGTAGAGACCCTACCATGGTTTTTGTTTCACAACGTCCATGTACGTTGTTCCTGTTCCTGAAAGCCTACGGTGCATATGGCGGTCAGTACAGATGATCTCGGCTGCAGTCCCATGACCCCTGCGAACTGTGCTTGGGTTCTCTATGCCCCAGACTCTGCTCCGTTGCCTCTGTTGCTGTTGGTTTGTTTTCTTTCAGGATCAATGTGGGTGCTCTCAATATAAAATCTCATGTTTAATTTCTTCCTGGATGCTTAGCTTTGCCTACTGACACCTAGAATGGACCCAGCACCCTAAAGTGTCCAAGATGAAATCCTGCTACTCCAATGTCACGTGATCTTCTAATTCTACTAGTGAGCAGAAAATGTCCAACCGCAGCCACCGCAGATCCTAATGCACCATATACTATCAATTTCCATGCAAAGGAAATGTTTTCAGTTCCTAAAATCCCTAGTTGCTTAAAGGGCTCCCGTTCCCGGGTTCGCCAGGCTCTGGCTCTGTGGCCGTGGGGACCAGTCTAGACCTACCATGGATTTGTGTCGCCATGTCCCTGGCAGTGTGGGTGGGACTTAACCAGTAATAGAAAAAAGAAGAAAAGGTGGCAGGAGAATTAAGATGGGAGCAAGAGGAAGGGCACTTCCCACCCATCGGGGTACCATCTGCGAGCTGACTTCAGCCACGGGCTCAGTTGCTCTTTTAGAAAGCAGTGGGTTATGACAGCTTTGACCCAGCCCAGATGAATCACAGCAGTGAGGGTTACTCTGAATCAGGGACAGCTCCCCAACCAGAGTCCCAGGGGCCACAGGCAGGAAGTCAACAGGTATCAGTTAATACCACTAATAATAAAAGAAGACGTGCGTGCTGAAACTCTGGATACAAAAATCCACCTTTGGGGAGAAAGCCAACAAGAAGTTAGGCATATAAAAATCCTCCGGCCAAATCCACCGTTGGCTTTGAAACAATACCCATGAAAAGAAAAGTAGCAGCTGAGTTTGGTTTGAAACCAGGATACACAGCTTGACTCTGGTTACAGGGAATTTGGCACAAGCTGAAGCTGCTGTGTGTCGCTGCCTCATCTGAACATACATTTTTGTTTAAGTGAGTTCAACAGTGTCGAGTGAGGCCTGCCTGCCTGCCCTGGGCTGCAGGGGAGTGGCCTGCAGGGGCGAGGCCTGGGCTTGGACTGCCAGCTCACTCACAGCCTGTGTGAACCAGGGCATGTCCCTCAGCCTCTTGGAGTCTTGATTTCCTCACCTGTAAAGAGAGGGTGGGGTAGTAATCCTACTTATTTTTAGAGTTTTAAGAAAAAATGTAATTCATAAGGTGCCAAGTCCTTCACACACAGCTGTCAACAGTGGTGCAGGTCTAAAGCGGT